CTGCTCTCGCACACGCTGCTCTAATAGACTCCTATTAATAAACTTACCGTCCTTAGCCAATCCGTAGATCGATGCTAGGAATAACCTTTATTTTCAACCTTATCCATGGTGATTTGGAAAATGCTGACTTGTTGAGTCAGCTTAATTTACACGTAATATGTAGAACTACCAGATCCTATATCCCATTAGTGGTGCGCCACTGAAGAACCTTCTTCGAACTGCATGAACCTTTAAGAGTGTTATATGCAAATTATAATGATTTATTCACACTAATCTCTGACGTATATACCCTTCTTAAATTAAAATCTTTAATACTAACACACTTAGTAAGCATGCAAGCTAACAACCTGGTAGCACGCCGGTAGTCAATTTCCTCGTGTTCTGGCCTATATTTTCCATCGCGCCTACTAACACCTAACCCAAACAGGCACGTGCCTGGTGTACTGACCGTAGTGCATCAACGTCCAATAAAATGTCTTTTTTTACATGCCGCCTGCATCGCGGCGTCGTTTTGCCGCATAACCCATTAATACACGTAAAGTCTGTGATTTTGATGATTACCCTGCAGTACTAAAGGAAACTCATCAACAATTCATCATCGTACCGACTGCGACTTCCACCGAGACGACGATGGCAATCGTGCCAAAACCGAATCTCTCGTGCTCTCATTTGGTCTCGGTCGACGAAACGTTGATTAAACCTTTCTGTATTCTGGGAGAGGCAGGATTTTGGTCCAAGGGACCGGAATGTGGGTCAGGATAGGAAGAATAAGGGGAAATGGGTCGGCCCGTCACCTGGCTAGCGACGCCTGCCCAACTGGCGACCATATGCGGAGCGGCTTCGGGCACAGCCACTCATCCGGTGGTGTGTTCCCTCGGCCAGGGAGGGAGGACTCGCTCAGGTTGAGGTTTGGCCGGCCGCGGTGTCGGGTACCGACCGTTTCTCAACCCGGCCAACGCGCGGCCCGCGTCCCCGACCCCGTCACCTGGGTATCGGAGTTGCAGGACTCGCCTAGGTGGAAGGACACCTCCGGGCATATGCATGGCGACCACGTCACCCGTGTGCCGCCCGCTCCACCCGGAGAGGAACCCTTTTTGGTCGCGGCCCCATCAACCGTGGGTCGCTTCCCTTCCCCTCTCCTACCACCCGGCTTGTCGGCCGCAGCGGTCACGGCCCCGTCCACCGTGAGCCGTTTCCTCCTTGGCCGACAAGCCGGGTGGTAGGAGAGGGGAAGGGAAGGGAAGCCTAACTGGACAAAACACACACAGTTGTTGCAATCACAAATCTACCCCTACTCCTTCCTCACACACATGAGTCCTGCCAGGGGGATCGGCGCGAAGGCCCAGCTCATCCGCTTCTCGTCGTTCGTCATGGGGCTGCCTATCCACGGCGGCAGACCCCATGGGTGGTATCGTCGGTGGGCGCCGGCCGAATCGTCGTCCTGAGCCTTGTGGATCGTCATTGGGCCGCCTATCCATGGCAGCGGACCCCATAGGTGGTAACGTCGGTGGTCACCGGCCGCATCGTCGTTTTGAGCCCGGCTCTGAAAGGCACGTCTGTGCTCTTCGAGTATTGAAAACCGACTCCCGGAGGCACGTCTGCCCTTCTGGGCTGTAGAGTTCTATCGTGGTGTGTATGGGGCGGTGAGTTGGAGGTCCATTCCCATGGATTTGCAGAAAGCCCGGAAGGTTTTGCTTGTGTACTGAGTCCCGTTGTCACAAACCAGAGTCTTCGGGATTCAGAAACGGCTGAGTAAACTTTCGCTGAAAGCTCGCTCAAAGTATGGTACAGTGGCTCGTCGCAAGGAGATTAGCTCGAAACATTTGCTGACCGAATCCAAAAACACAAGAAGAACTGTGTTCCCTTGTTTGGACCGCGGGAGAGATCCCACAAAGTCGTCGCACGTCCCACGTCAACCTGGCGGGTGAACATAGTTCCCTGATACTCGAGGTCCTTGCCGTTTTCCGGCGTCTGGTTCCTGCAGCAATTGACGGTTCTAGTGCCATGTCGGCCACAATCCCAGCAGAACATTATTCTGGGGTTGCGATATTCCCTGGAGGCGTGTCCCTCCTGTCCGCAGTGGCGGCAGGCAGTATGTACGTTGATAAGCCCTGTGGGCGGAGATGACTTAGGCTTGTTGCTCTGGTTCACTGGTGGAGTCCGGCGTATGACGTCAGCTGGAGAGATTCGTTGTCGTGGCTGCTATGACGCGCTGACATTTGTCGTGTAGCTCGCGTTCATCTTGTTCGTTGATGTTGTTCGTTACATTTGCTCTGAAGAAGAAGAGCGTATTTTCCAATTAGGAAATTTTTGGCTATCTGTTGCGGAGCTCAAGCAGACTTTCCGTTTCCGTGGGGGGTCTTTTTAAATCAAGACCTGGTAGAGCATAGACGTGTCTAGTGCTCATAATTGTCCATAAATTAGACAGTGTCAGTGACTCGCGATTATCGAAAACCAACCTAAAAGCTCATACTGAAGTGAGTATAGGAATGCCAAAGTGTAGGCACAGTAAATAACCCCTTTTGTTGTCCAGGGCAGGAAGGTGTTAAAAGTGGAGGCAGCCAGGCAGTGGAAATTCACGACCAGGGCCAAAAGGCGAGAAGGCCTTTCTCCGAAGGGAGACGACTTTATATCAGTGCCAGGGCTCGGCCAGCTGGTAAACATTTTAATGTCGTGTTCGTTTTATCCAGTGCTGACTGTGTGAACTTAAAAAAATTACAGATTGGGCCCTGCAGCAAGGAATCTAAAACGCCAAAGAAGGGGCACCCCTAAGCAAGAGGGCATGAAGTAAAGGGGAGTTGCACCAACACCTGAGGAGCAGCGCTGAGCAACGGCTGACCAACAGCGCGGATGCGCAACTGATTTGCTGGCCAGTGGCGCCGCCCAGAGAGGCGATTTTTTTGCTGTGCGAGAACCTAGGTTATGTGACCAGCGCAATAACCCCTAGTGACCTCTAGTGACCCCAACCATGCGGGTTAGCCTCCATATTGGCTAGTGAAAATTTTAACCTCTATTAGTGAGGATCTGTGCTAGTGCCAGACGTTCATTAAATGGGTTTTAACCCTCTAAAGCCTATTTTGCCTTATTGGTTTTCCCGATTTTGTTGTGCTCAATTTGCGCTTAAATACTTGTCTAAATTTTGACACAAACTGCTGCTAACTTGTGCTTCAATTATTGAAATTGTTTGACCTTTAAAAGCCTTCTTACTTGCACTCGCCTAAACCAAAATGAATGAAACCACACAAATTCTATGAATATTATGCTGAATTTGATACAATATTCTTTACATCTTAAACTTAACGATTTTATAAATTTATAAATTATGTAACTTTAAAAAAATTTAAAAATACTATATTATTCAAAATATTTAATTTAAAATTAGGAAATGAATTCTTTTGTTGCGTAGGAATAGGAAAAAAAAAATTAATAATGAAGAATGAATTAAACCCAGGTTACAGCCAGGGGCTTTCGAACTATGACCTTTTTCCAGCTATTCTTCGAGGGAGATCGATCTTTCGCCGATGGAAAAGATGAGTGAGTTGTACAAAAAAAAACGGTGTAGTTTCGAATAAAAATATATAATGAATTTAAAAGAAAAATCCAAGAAAACGAGAAAACAAAAAAAAAAATTGAAACGAAACAAAACGAATTCAAAACAAACAAATCAAATTTGCCATGCACTAAATAAAAATGACCTACTTAACCTACCGCAACAATTGAAATTAGAAAATTAAAACGCACAGAAAAAAAAATGAAGTTACTCCATTCTATTATTTAAAATTTTAAAGTTAAAAGAACATTTAAAGATGAAATTTAAATTGAATTCAAACTGAAAGAGCATGCATGAATATATATTTCTTAAATTTTATAATTTCTTATTGCACATAAACACATATACACTTCTTTTATAAGTTATATTTTTACCTCATACTCGTACATTATGTTAGCTTTAAGTAATATAATCACATTAAACTTGTACTAATAATCCGAAATTATGGAAGCCTAAACACTCATAAATACCGACTCGCAGGATGACTCCACGGTCGTAGGGGTCAAAAGGGATCACCAGAGCCATGCTCTTGCGGCAGGTGATCTTAGGTTGGGTGGGCACAAAGCGAGCACAACAACATCCGTGTCTCTGCAATGTAGAGATTTTCTCTCTGTCTTCTCTTCTCTCTACTTCCGCATTTCTTCTGTCTTCTTTAGATGGTGTGAATTTTGTTTATCATTTCTTCCGGTTTAGTTCTAGCTTTTAATTTTGTCGCAGCACGCTCAATTACTAGTCTTTTTAATAGTAATGTGTAGTCGTTGTCAGAGATCTGGGTGAGCAAGACCTCCACCCCAAAGCCGACGAGCTAGAGCCGGAATTTAAAGCGTGCCCTAGCAGCCCAGATCCTCGCCAACCCCCGACGAACTATATGGTTGCACACTACAGTAGTTAACGCGTAGTTGTGTTAACTCGGCCAAAGTCCTGAAATCCTGTCGAAGTGTGAACATATGTGTTTCGGGAAGCATATTCTCGTTGACGAGTTCAAGTTCCTGTTCTGCTGTGAATCCTGAGCGTTGCATTTGGAGTCGTAGGTCCACCGGATACTCCTTGAATGGCTCATTGATCCGTTCCAAGAATTCTCGGCGCACCTGGGTTCAGGTCCTGCCTTGGAGATCGCTGGTACGGAACCAGTTCTCCGCTCACCCTGATAGCAAGACGATGAGTGCGTGGGACAGGTCCGTTAGGTATCCGTCCGTTCCTCCTGGTGCTTTATGAAACTAAGCGCGTCTGAGGAGCTGAAAAACAATAGTCCCCACTTGGTGTTGGCACCGGGGCCGGCCCAACCTCAACCCGACCAAGGCGCTACCCACGTCTCCAGGACTCGCCTGGGGGAAGGACACCTCCGAACATAGGCATAGCGTCACTCGTGTGCCACCCGCTACGCCCGGAAGGGAATACTGATAGGTTGCGGCCCCGTCAACCGTGGGTCGCTTTCACACAGGGGTTAGGAATGACTTCCTTGGCCGCTGCGGTCACAGGCCCGTCAACCGTGAGCGGTTCCCGCCTTGGCCGACAAGCCGGTTGGTAGGATAAGGAAAGGGAAGGGAACCTTTCAGCAAAATACGGCTATAGAACTGCTGAGAGACGGATGTTGCCATTAATCCTGAGTTGGGCTTCAACTGTTCACAAGATGCAAGGTTCTGTAGTTGACATTGTACAGTGTACAGTGCGAGACATTGCACAGTTTACAGTGCCCTTAGAATAATTGTAACATTATGTCTCTGAATTTAGTGATCTTATTTCTGATTATATACTATTGCTCTGAATTTAATAATTTTCTTTGTAATTATAAATTATTTTCTTCTTTTTAGTTTGGTTATTTATAAAAGCGTGTTTTTTTTTAGTTTTTTAAACTATTGTAGTATGCACTCATATTGAATACCCACTGTACCAAGAGTACTTTACGGGTACACACTGTACACACTTTGTTGCAGTGTTTACATAATTTAAAGTCCCGGTCATAAACCTAAGTGGCCGAAATATGAAACGATCATCGTACATTGGCCGCACACAGGCTGTGCTAGTGTCAGCATAGACGCAACACGAGCGGACCTCATGTATGTATGTATGTGCATATATCTCCGCGCTCAGCTTTAGAGAGCATAGCTATGTATTTAAGAATATAAAACCGTCTCTCCGCTGCCGCTGTTGGCAGCGCAGCTACGAGACTTAGATTTCTTTAGCTGTTAAAACATATTGATAAGTGGAGATATCCAATCAAGCTCGGAGCAGCAACAACGGCTGCTCCGGAATTAAAAAACTAAAATAAAATAAAAGAACAAACACAACTATAAACTGAATGAATCTTATTCATTGTGGATTTGGATCGGGAGATAATATTAATTTTACACTATTATTTATTATATATAAATATAAATATACATATATATATGATTAAAATTTAATACTCTCCAAGGGTATACATAGATATGTATACACTGATTAGAAAATGAAAACCTTGACTTAAATGTAAGTGAGCATACATACATACTTATGTATTTACCCTGCAGTACCAGTAGCTATGACTGTTGCTATCATAAATAATCATTCATCAACAATTCATCGATGATGACAGCCTAGGGCATGCCCATGTTAAATTCAACAGTTTGTATGGCCTGTCATCGATGAATCATCAACAGCACCCCCTTGACTGTTGATGAAACGTTCATGAATTACTGATGACTGGTACCTCAGGGTACTTACATAAGTAAGTATGTGAGTACGTTCTCTTCATAGTTGAAAAATAATGTCATAAATTTACCATAAATCTATTATTTTCAAGTTTACAATTAATTAATTAATTATACAATTAGTTTTTAATTATTATAATTTTATAAATTTGCAAACATACTGAAACAAATAAAAATGTTTTAATACAATATGGAATTCAATAATAATTTCTGGTCGGTCAAAAATGCCTTTTGGGAAATATATTGTCTGAAGAAAAAACTTAAATTAAAATAAGTAGTAAGTATAGTTAGATATCTTAAATAATTTGTCCCCCAATGCAAGCGCTAGCCGCTAAGTATTGCTGTGACGTCATAAGTAAGTGAGCCGCCGCTTCGGCGCACTGGCTGTGGTTGTCCGAAATCTATAAAAAAGACTATGCATGCTGAAATTTGCACACCCATACAAATGTGTGAGCGCTTGTACACATATACACATATGCACAGAAACGAGAGCACAGCGCACTATGTGGAATTTGACCCGTTTTCTTGGCCAAAATTAAAATGTTTGAAATTAACAAAATTTTTACTGCAGGTTTCTTATATAATAATGGTTATGACTATAGGAAGGTATTTTAGAAAAGTGGGCGTGTCAACGCCCCCTCCGCCCACAGAAATCGAAAAAAAAATCGAATATTTAAAGCAATTTTCAAGTTAGAGACCCCAATTTTGGAACACAGGATGAATTTCTTATTTTAAATGTATCCTGCAAATTTGGTTCAGATCGGAAAATAAATATAGAAGTTATTCAAGAAGAACATTTTTTTGGTTTTATTATTCTACATATTAATTATTAACTTCATCATTGTCATCAATTTCATTATTATTATAAAAAAAAAAATGCATTGTCGTCTTCCCTAACGTCGATATCAGTTTTAACGGTTAAGAAAACCTTATATTCTGCGGAGTTTGATTGTTCCACAATAAATTTCCGGAGGAATTGAACCTCCCTTGCAAACGCCACACTACTTGCAGTTCTGCATTTTTGACCAAGAAGTTGCTTCCTAATAATTCGAATTAAGCAGAAAACCGCAAAAAACGCACAATGAGCCTATATATTTTGAATTCAGAATAGACAAACCTACAATATGTATATGGACACTCACTGATACAATTTGAACCTTTTTTAAAACCCTTTGGAAAGTTCAACTTTCTTTCCAAAAGTACAAATTTTTAGAAAAATACGAATGAAACACGAAACATATTATTATCAACACATAGTAATAACCTGAATAATTAATATTCAGTTTGAATTTGGTTATTTATTGATTTTATGTCAGAGATATGCCAATTTGAAACTGCACCTCAAAGTCAACCTTTAAAACAGCCCGTGGTGTTCGCTTGCAACAGCTGAATTTAACAGCTGTTATTTTAACATTGAACTGTTAAGTTAACATTTTTGGTATGTAACATAGTAGTTTGATCATTTCTTAACATGGTATCATTGATAATACTGAAATTTGAATACTAGCGAAAAATGAGTTTTGGCCACGAAAATGGGTCAAATTCCACATAGTGCAGCGCAAAGAAACGCACCTCTGCTCATCGTTCCACGGTCGATCTGCCACTGAGAAGTGAACTCTTGTTGTGCTCGGTTTCGAACGAATGCTGCGAACTCGAAAAAGCAAAACGCACTCCGGGGTTCTAGACATATCGTTCGTTCGGTTCCAGGCTCAGCCGTTCTTGTGATAGTACTTTTGGTACTGTTTGACTACTCTATGTATTTCTTGCTTAGTGATAAAAGTGAACGGACAAAGTATGACTTAGTATCGGCGCGGACAAGACGGACCTAATTTCCTTTGACAAGAAAAATGAGGTGCCACTATGGATCCTCAAAAAAAAAAATAAATAAATAAACACAACCCTGCTGACGCCGAAAACATAAGTCAAATACTTCGTCACTGTACATCCCAGCAACCTGGCATATAAACACCACGTTTTAGAGAGTGTAAAAAAATCCACAATATCGCTATACGCATCCAAGAAGATGCTTAGTTTTTCGCCCTCTCTAATGCTCTGGATCTATATATCGGTGGTGAGTCCGACTCTGCTGCGAAAACTCCAGTGTGGTGTCAAGTCAGGGAAAAGAAGAATATTGATTGGAATTCTTACAGATCACTACCTGACTGCGGCACATGTAGTCAACATAGGCATTATCCACAAACGAAACCTGTAATTATCTCATATGCACACTCATACAAATTTTTACCTAAACAAACCAAATCAGGAAAAATGTCATTAGATTTAAGAAAACATTTTAAATTAACCCTTAAAAATTTATTTACATAATACTGGACGTTGATGCACTACGGTCAGAACATTCAAGAGGCCAGTATGACACCAGGCACGTGCCTGTTTGGGTAAGGTGTTAGTAGGCGCGATGGAAAATATAGGACAGAAAACGAGGAAATTGACTACCGGCGTGCTGCCAGATTGTTAGCTTGCATGCTTACTAAGTGCGTTAGTATTAAAGATTTTTATTTGGGAAGGGTATCTACGTTAGAGATTAGTTAGTACAAATCATTATAATTTGCACATAACACTCTAAAATGTTCATGAAGTTCAACAGAGGTTCTACAGTGGCGCAACACTAATGGGATATAGGATCTAGTAGTTCTACATGGTACGTGGAAATTAAGCTGACTCAACAAGTCAGCACTTTCAACATCACCATGTATAAGGTTAAAAATAAAGGTTATCCCTAGCATCGTTCTACGATTGGCTAAGGACGGCAAGTTTATTAATAGGAGTCTACTAGAGTAGGAAGGTAATCTTTGGTTTGCATCCCAATTTAAACCGCGTAGAGCGAAGAGTAAAAAGCGCTTTTGAAACGACTCGATGCGTTTGCTATTGACGCCGCACTGAGGGCACCAAACGCAGCATCAATATTCTAAGATAGGACGAACTAAAGAAGTATATAAGGATTTAGTAACACAGGGGTCATTGAATTCCTTCGACCACCGTTTAATAAATCCAAGCACACCACTGGCTCTATTCACCATAGACGAAATATGATCAATAAAGTCAAGTTTTGGGTCCAAGCAGACGCCCAAATCATCAACAGAATTAGTTCTTTCAAAAAAGAGCAGCAGTTCAGCGTGTAAGTAGAAAGCTTAGGAACGACACGAGAGAATGTCATTAGCTTGCATTTCGAGCCATTTAAGTTTAATAAGTTTACACGGCACCAAGTTTGAAAATTATTAAGATCTGTTTGTAAATCCGACTGGAAGGCAACGTCATTGTATTGCACGCAAAGCTTGACGTCATCCGCGTTCATAAGCACTCTGGAGTTAGTCAAAACTTTGGGCAGGTCATTTATAAGTAATGTAAACAATAAGGGTCCCAAATGGCTTCCTTGCGGGACGCCAGATGTAACCCTTAGAACATTGGATAAAATATTCTTAAAGATGACCTTTTGCGTCCTGCCATTCAGATAACTTGAGATCCAATTAAGAACATCACTTGGAAAATTCATAAAATCGAGTTTTCTAACGAGGAGAGAATGGTTAACAGAGTCAAATGCTTTACTGAAATCAGTATAGATTACATCTGTCTGACAATTATTATGGAAGCCCTTTATAATATAGGAAGAGAGCTCCGAAAGATTTGTTGTTATTGATCTTCGCTTAATAAAACCATGTTGACATGGAGAAATAACTGATCTGCAACGGTGCTGTAAGTGAGGGGTGATAATGTTTCAAATAATTTAGGGATGGCCGACAACTTAGAGATTCCTCTATAATTGCTGGCATCCAATTTGCTACCTTTTTTGTGAAGAGGAATAATAAACGATT